CTCGCTATGGCATCGTACGTGGCTCGTCGATGATGTAACCCCGCGCTTTCCCTCCCGGGATGCGGGGTTTTCGTCTCCGTCCCGTCGCTCGGTTGGTCGACACGACGCATGCGGTTGCAAGGTTAATTACCGACATTTAGCCGGTTAAAACCATACAAGTTTTAATTGGCTTTACGGAATTACAAAAACCTTTAATAAAGTACGCACAAAAATGTAGAGAGCTAGGGTCAATTTTACATCAAAAATAAAAAAAAATTAAAAATTTAGGCACATAGAGCTGTCACTGACAACAATATTTGCTTATACAAAAATACTGCAATTTATATATGTATACAAAATGAGATACAAGCCCTCTAGGGAAAACATTTAAGAACAATATCGTGCAATTAGAACTGATTAAAAGCCTAGAAAAAAAGTTGCATGCTTTTAACTTTTATATGTGCAAAAGCATATGCAGGTTGATAGGATAAGCAGTATTGCGTGTAGCGAGAGATGACGCAGCGATCGGACAAGGACAGATTACTATAGTTAGACAAGGACAGATATAGATATATAACATAGAAAACAGGATTAGAAATGTTGACATTATCGACATCAAAGAAGTTCGGTCTTTGCTATAGGATCCCCTTAAGTCCCGTATACGAAAGATCGTATTCCCCGGTTTTTCGTAAGGAACTTTTTCTTCAGCGGTCTCTGTTACATCGACCGTAGAGTCAATCGAGGAGGTATCGCATTCTCCTGCCCCGCGGAGCCGGGATCGTCTGGCTGAGGTCTTGGAACCTCCCAGAATTCCGTCCCCCACATATCCCTCGATTCCCGAGGAATGCACCCGAGAGCTTCCTCTTCACCACTTTTTCAGGGATCTCTCAGCTTATTTCCTCCAATTTACAGGTCCTCTTCAGTGTTGCCAACTTAGTATAATTATACCAGATCTAGTATAATTAAAAACCATTTAGTTTCCAAAAATTATGTTTTAGTATCTAGTATAAAATCTGGTATATTTGGACTGCGTTCGGGGAGTGCACTATTAGCGCTATTGCATCATTCTATCTTTATCGCTCATCAGGTATAAAATAAGGATAGAATAAGCAAATAGCGCTAATTGCGCGCTCCCCGAATCCAGCCTTGCTTTGTGAAACAGTATAATTTTAGTAGCAAATTCAATTATAATTTTTGTACAAAAAATGCGTCAATAAGTTAAAAAAATGCCAACAAGATCACGTGTCACGTGACAATAGTTCAGGACTACGTTCCAAAATTCTACCTTAGTAACTAAAATCTATGTTCAAGTCACGTATTTAGTTACCGATTGAGGTTGAATTTTGGAACGCAGCCCTGATTGATACCAGCCAATCAGAGCCATCAGAGGGCGTTGTCACGTGACTTCTTGGCGCCTGTCTTGAGACTCTTTAGGTTATTAGTGTTATCACATATCAGTACATGCAGTTATCAAATGTTAAGCAAAGCTGTTTATAAATTAATTAGTTGCATAGGAAGAAAGAAGTTAGTTAAAGTCATTATTATCATTATAGTCTGTCATCATAAAATTTTATTTTGTCACAGCAGTAAGTAAATGAAATAACTTCTGAGCCAAAATGTACGCAGGGATTTGATTGTATATCAATGTAATGTTATTTTTAGATGACTAAACCGCAATATACCCAAAAGTTTCGTCATGAGTGGCTTTAGGATCCTTTTTTAAAAGATTGGTTGATAGCAGTAGAATCAACAGGAGCACTGCTGTCTAAATGTAAAATGTGTTATAAAATATTGAATAATCACTATGGCTTATTTAAAAAACATACAGCATCAAAGAAACATCAGGAGATGAAAAAAATTATTGTTGGTTCTACACAACCTAAAATAAAAGAAAAGGTAAAGGAAAATCATGACAAGAAAGTAGCAGAGGCTGGACTTGCTTTGCTTATAACAAATCATACATCAATTAATCAAATTGATCACTGAAGTAATTTGTGCAAGAACGTATTCAAGAATTGTCCTGCAGAATTCGGTTTACAAATACATCGGACAAAATGCACAAACATAATAAAAAATGTATTAGCGCCCTTTTTTAAAGAGGACTTAAGACATGACATTGGAAACTCGTCATCTAGTATACTTATTGACGAATCAACTGATATATCCGTAAAGAAGTTTTTGAGTATTGTTATCATTTATTTCAGTCAAAAATCTAATCGTGTAGTAACAACCTATTTTGATTTCTCAAATTTCTCAGCCACGTCAATTGTTGAAACTATAAAAAAAATTCTTAGAGAATATAAGTTAAATTTAAATAACCTTATTGGAATTGGGACAGATAATGCATCAGTTATGGTAGGAGTAAATAACGGAGTATATGCTCAATTAAAAACGGAAATTCCACATTTAATATTAGTAAAATGTGTATGCCATTCTGTTCAGCTTGCAGCATCTCATTAGGGAAACTTATGATTGGTTTTCGAGATCTACATCAAGAAAAAAATATTATGAAAATTTATATAAAACTTTAAATGATGGGCCACAACCTCTAAAAATTGTTCAGTCATGTCAAACAAGATGGTTATCAATTGACCCAGCAGTAGCGAGAATTGTAAATCAGTGGATAGAATTGAAACTATTATTCGAAATTGCTCGATATAATGAAAGGTGTTATACTGCAGAAACTTTGTATAATCTTTACAAGGATGATAAAAACTATATTTATGTTTTTTAAAAATAATTTTAAATGATGTTCATTGAGTAAATAAATTATTTGAAAGTAATGATGTTGATCCGTTAAAATTACTTAATGAACTAACGTTATTAATAGAGTCACTTATTAATAAGATAACAACTCCTAGACAAAAACAGATTGATATTTTTAAAAATAACTTTTTATCATACCCTGATAGAAATTGTTATTTAGGCTGCTTATGTGAAAACTCAATTCAAACAATGAAAGGCAAAGGGAAATTATCATTAAAAGAAGAAAAGTTACTTAGGAAAAGGATGGTCAATTTTGTTGTTTCTTTAATAAATGAGTTAAAGCAAAGATTATATATATACCAGAAAATATAGCTGTACTTAAGGTGGTTGAGCTAGTACCATATAAGTCAATATAAGGCCTAAATTTTATTTTAAGAAAAACCATTTTTATGGATATATTCTAGACACTTGTATAATTACTGGTTTTATAATGTAACTTTTCATTCGATTATGTATCAATTTATCTACTGATAAATGTAAACAGTTCAAGATTTGACTTCAATTGACATTCGTACAAGAGAAATGTTGCATTGCATCTCTTCGCTGTAGGCAGCTATCGTGCCAGTGCCATGTGTTTGAGTGAGGTTATGTATTGTTTATGTTGAAAAATAATGCAAGGTAACAAACAATTTCGATAACGAAAGATTTGCTTGCAAAAGAATAGTGCTGTGAAAAGAAAAACACTACACGGCGCGGCGTTGCCACATATTCACGTCGCGTACAGTTGATCGAAAGGCCGACAAGAAACGCGACAATTCATCAACTTTTGATTGAATTTGTGGCCTTATTACACGTCAACGTCGTTTTGTTTTATACTCAACAAGTGCTAGAAAAATCAAATAATGTTATTTTCAGTTTTTTGAACTTGTTTCTTTACAGACAGTGAGTGAAATTCTCGAAAAATGTATGTTTCCGATACAACCTATGTTAAAAATGCCAACTTTGAGATGTAATATCTCAAAAACTAGACGTCAGATCTTCTCAAAATTGCAAATTTAAGCGCGCGTATTTAGGTTTTCTTTATAACATATTTTTAATTCGAATTTTTTTCTTTGACATGCTCTGATGGCCCAATCACCTTAAAATGATTTCTAATATTAGTGTAGATAAATCATTATCTCATAATCGTCCATCTTTGGTCGAGCTTTTAAAACACTTTTCTTATAACGATGAGAAAATCGACAAAATGTTAGACTCATGGAACAAAATACATCTTATAAAATGGAATAACACTACAGAGACAAAAACATTTTGGTATGAAGTTATTTTATATAAAAATGCTGCAGGCCAAAATCTATTTTATGATTTGGCTATGTTTGCTTTAAAAATGTTAAGTCTACCTCATTCCAATGCAGACGTAGAAAGACTATTTAGTCAACTCAATTTAATAAAAAATAAGTTAAGGAATAGATTGGAGGCAGATACTGTAAAGGATATAATATATATAAGAGCTGCATTAAAACGTTATAATAAATGTTTTAATTTTGACTTACTAAAATATATAATAGATAAAATGAAAACAAATAAAACATATAAAGAAAATGCAATACCTAATTTTTATTTTAATTTTATTTTTGATAACTGTTCTTGAATAAATAAATATTTTATTGTAATGGTTGATATTATTTTCATAAATTAAGTATAAATACTTAAGAAGAATATATAAGAAAAAATATTGTAGAACATAAATATTTAACAAAAATAAATTTATTAATTTATTTGTGTTTCAGAGTACACAGTACACAGTACAGAGTACACAGTCTCCTTCGGAGCTGGTACGCTCTTCTTGAAGAACCGGGAATAGAGGACACTGGATATGGAAATAAATGCGGTGTGACCGTTTAACAGTGTCTTTATTTAACGATCGAGGCAGGCGACGTCTGATCGGCCGTAGAATGGATACGGGTTCACTTCGATAATCTCCTCAAAATATGTGTGGTTTGGACACGTTCCGACGACGAACTGACTTTCGGTATACGCGAGCTCGACTGACGAACTCTCGGGTATTCGCCGATCATTCTGTTTAAATGCCGTTTTGCGTGATCCCCGTGTGAGCCTCGCATGCTCGCGTTCTATTTATCTCGAAATATACAATTTCGATCTTCGCAAGGAATTTAGCCGGGCTCGAGGACTCTTCGATTCTCTCGCGTCAGCATAACTTTAATTCATTCCGAAACACACCGCCCGCTTCGAATTTTACATTCGATGATAAGTATTAACTCGCCTTAGGTACAATAAATTATCGCTACATTTCGCTACATTTGGTCGTCATCGACCTCGCCTTCGTTACATGGTTCAGTGTTGACGCCGTCCGCCATGGCGGAACTTTGCGAGAAGTTTATGTCGATCGGAAGAAAACATAATTTTACAATGGGTCGCTTGTATTGAGAACGCGCAGTTTTCACTGTGACTACCTGGGTGAGTCCGTCAACTCCGGGATGACATGCCGTTATGCGGCCGAGCTCCCATCGACACGGGGGTGCAAGCGCGTTTTGCATGAGCACCATTTGGCCGACTTTGGCGGACTCATGTGCTACCCTCCATTTTGGCCTCTGCTACAAAGTAAGCGCATAGTCATTTGACCACGATTTCCAAAATAATTCGGTGATACGTTGGAAGAGCTGCCACCGTGACAATCGTGCCTCATTGAGCTCGAGAACACTGGGTTCCGGGGCGGCGAGAAGGGGGCTTCCGATGAGGAAATGTCCAGATTCTCGGACATTGCCACGATTGGGCGGGAATTCAGACAAGCTTCGATGCGAAACAACACTGTGACGAGCTCCTCGAACGTAAGGGTATATGATCCGATACATCCGCTTTAGGTGATACTTCACGCTGCGTACCGCAGCTTCCCACAGCCCTCCGAAATGCGGAGCGGAGGGCGGTAGGAAGTGCCAGGTAGTGCCTTCGGAGGCCATCTAATTTAAAAAATTCGGATCTTTGGTCGCGACTTTAGCCGCGGTTTTGAGTTTGCGATCGGCGCCCTGGAATGTTGTTCCATTATCGGAGTAAATTGATCTTGGAAATCTGCGACGAGATACGAAGCGGGCAAATGCAGCGAGGAACGCGGGGGTGGAGTAATCGCTGACAAGTTCGAGGTGTATCGCCTTTGTAGTCATACAGATAAACACGGAAATGTAGGTTTTATGGGCCTTATGGCCACGGCCTTTCGCTGTACGTACTAACACGGGACCGGCGAAGTCGACCCCGGTGTGAGCGAATGCTCGGATGGAGCGATTTACGCGAACGCGTGGGAGGTCGCCCATGAGTTCGCTTGGGATGGGCGCTCGTTCTCGAGTACAAACGACGCATTTGTATAAGACGGCGCGGACGAGCAAACGCGCTTGTAATATCCAATACTTTTCGCGAAGCAAGGACAGTGTTAACTGCGATCCGGCATGCAGCGCTCGCAAATGAGTGTCGCGAATGATCAGTTTTACTAATAGGTGATCCCTTAGGACTATCGGGTGACGTGCGTTCTCGTCGATGTCTGCGTGTCGAAGTCGGCCTCCGACACGGATAAGCCGTTGGTCGTCGAGAAACGGATTAAGCGGAAGAAAAGAACTCGATTTTGGGATAGGAACTGCGTTTGTGTGAAGTTATTTTGATCGGGAACATGTCGGCTTGGATTGTCCGTAACCAAAAGTTTTCCGCAGAGTCGATCTCGTAGGATTGTAGGATAACGACGGACGAAGGGGGGGTCGGCTGCGCGGCCCTTTGATAAGCTTGGATGTTCTTGACGAAGCGCTAAATGTAGGCGGTGACTCTTAACAATTTCGACCACGACGAATATCGCGTTGATAGGTCCCAGGATTGAACGACGGTCGACTGTTGTTGTCGTTCTTCGAGCGTGGTACTCGGTTCTAACGAGGGGGCATCATTTGGCCATTGTTCTGGAGTTTTGGTCATCCAGGAGGGACCTGACCACCACAAGTAGTTCGAGGCCAGCTCCGCGGGAGAGATCAGAGATCCCACGTGACGCGCAGTCGGCAGGATTTTCATCAGTGGACACGTGACGCCAGGGTGTGTTCGAGAGCCTCGCTTGAATATCCGCGACACGATTCGCCACGAATGTCTTCCAGTGAGCTGGTGAGCGCCTCAGCCAGGCCAGAGCCACTTTGGCGGCGATCCAGCAGTGTTTCGGTACGTTTGGCATATCGAACGACATGCAAACAAATTGGAGGAGTCTGGCGAGCAGCTGAGCCGCACAGAGTTCGAGTCGAGGGACGCTCATTGGTTTTAGCGGAGCGACCTTGGATTTTGCTGCTAGCATTGTCACAGTCACAGTACCGTCCATTGATACAACGCGAAGGTATACTACCGCAGCGTAGGCCTTTGTGGATGCGTCAGAGAATCCATGTAACTCCTTCTGGAGCGCATGATGTCCGCATTGAGTCCAGCGTGGAATAGTTACCCTTTCAAGTTCCGGGAGCTGCTCATAATATCGTCGCCATTGCTCGAGAAGATTGGACGGGACTGGTTCGTCCCAATTACACTTTGACGCCCAAAGTTGTTGCATTAAAATTTTCGCTTGGCCTAGCCAAGAGGATCGGACAGTTTGGCGATAGCGGATAGAATCGTTCGTTTTGTTTCTCCTGGCGCGTTTGACCTGTTCACCTGGAATTGAAATACATCGCGGTCCGGATTCCAAGTAAGGCCGATTTTTATCCTTTCATCCTCGCGTAGTTCTCGACTTTGAGCCAGGCGGTGATTATTAGGGTCGATATCCTTGAGAAGGTCGGACGAATTGCTTGCCCATTTGCGAAGAGTAAATCCGCCTTTGTCAAGGAGAGACACGACTTGGTCTCGAGTTTGCCGAGCGAGGATCTTGTCATCTGCGCCAAACGTAAAATCGTTTATATATCGTTTCCGCATGAGCACGGGAATGACAAGCGGAAATGCGGCTCCGTGGTCGACGACGAGCTGTATCATGACTCTCAGAGCTTGGTTAGGAACAGAGGCGGTACCATATGTAACCGTGCATAAGATATATGTTAATACGGGAGAATCTGGATGTGGCCGCCAGAAAATCCATTGGTAATCACGATCGGGAGGATGGACAATTAAGGATCTGCCGGTACATTTTCGTCATGTCGGCGGAATAAACGTACCGATATAGACGCCACTGTAAAATGACAGAAGCGAGATTTGTTTGGAGCTTGCGGCCAACAAGGAGGTGGTCGTTAAAAGAAGTGCCGTTTGTGGTTGGGCTTGACGCGTTAAACACGACACGAACTCGGATTGTTGCGCTACTCTTCCAGAAAACAGCGTGATGAGGGATGAACACAATCTGCGTCGGATCACTAGGCTTCTCGTTATCTGGAACTCGTTGCATATGCTCAAGATCGGCATATTCCTTGAGGAACGCGTGGTATTCGGCGGCTTTCGTCGGTTCCTGCTTTAGGCGGTTTTCTGCGCGAAGGTAGTTTTGTAGGGCCGAGTTACGAGATTCTCCGATAGAGATGGAAGGCCCGTTTTTAAAGGGTAGTCTGACGACGTAGCGCCCGTCAGGGTTTTGATAGTGCGTGCGTAGGAAATGATCCTCGCACGCTTGGTCTTCCGGAGTTAACTGGGTCGTGTGGGATATCTCCTCCACCTCCCAAAGAGGCGCATGTTGTAATCGAGATCTTCATCTATGGAGGCATGATGTACGTCGATCCGTTGGCCGGGTCGCTCTCCACCCGTTGGTCCGGAAATAATCCATCCCAGAACAGTGTTTTGCGCTATAGGTTTATTCGCGGCGCCCTTCCGGACCCCGTCGAGAATTAACGCGCCGAACGAGTCGGCGCCAATGAGGACGTCGATCGGGTCGGATTCCGCGAAATTCTGATCGACTAGGTTGAGATCCTTTAGGTGTGGCCATTGAATCCGAAAACTGCTACGATTGGGCAAGTACCGCGTTAGTGACTTTAAAACTAATGCGGAAGTGGAATAAGCAGGAGTGTCCGACGCGCTCGGAGTGATCGTGATGAGAGCAGCCTGCCGGACGGAGGTGTGCGTCTCTCCAATGCCGGTCACACTGATCGAGGTGCGAACCTTCGGAAGGCGCAAAGATTGAGCCAAGTTCTGGGTCATAAACGACGCAGCTGATCCTTGATCGATTAAGGCGCGCACGATTTGAAATCGACCCTGGTCGGAATAAACTCTAACTCGAGCGGTTGCAAGGAAAATTGGCTGGGTGGGGGGAATGGATTTGGCGACAACATGAGATACGATATCGACAGTGGAATCTTCGGGCTTTTTTCCAGCGGGCCGATAAACTTTGGCGCGAGTTTTGCGTTAAATGACGCGCTTTTGTCGGGCGGTCCCGCTTCCACACCCATTTTGTGACTCTCGGTCTCCATTCTTGGCGGCGGAGGTTGTAGTGCTTCTCCTGGTGCTGGAACGCGCGCGCCAACTGAATTTTTACGAGATTGTATGTCTCGGTCAGGCGGCGGTGGAGTGCCGACGGCGGGATTGGAGTGTCGCGCGGAGTATCTTCCCCGGAGCGTCGTAATTCGCGGCTGTGATTCAAATACGCGGGCGTGTAACCGGTCGCGTCGTGCGTCGCGGTGTTGTACGCGAACTGGAGCTCGGGCAGGTTTTCGTCCCAGGCTTTATGTCACTTCGCGTATTGCGCGATCATTGTTTTAATTACGCGGTTAGTGCGCTCCACGGGGTTGCAGTGGGGCGCGTATGCCGGGGTGAATCGGTGACTAATCCCGCAATCGTCTAGCAACTTTGCGAGTTGCCTTGATTTCAGCTGGGTGCCATTATCCGACAGGATTTCGTCCGGGCATCCATGACGGAGGATAATGGCCTCAGTGATAGATTTCACGATGGCCGGTGCAGTAGCTCGGCGCAGCAGTCGGAGTTCGACCCATTTCGTGAATCGGTCCTGCATATTTAGGAGCCACACGTGGCCGGCGACGGATCGCGGGAGCGGACCGACGAGGTCAATGGTGACCTGCTGCTATGGGTGATCGAGGGTGGTCGGGTGTAGCTGGCCGGCCGGTTTCTCCTGCGCGACTTTGTGCGCCAGGCATGTCGGGCATTCCCTCACGTACCGGGCGATATCGCGGAACATTCCGGGCCAGTAATAGCGGAGCGCGATTCTCGCGATCGTCTTGGCGATCCCCAAGTGGCCGGCTGTGGGCGCGTGGTGGTAGCGCTCGAGGATCGTGGCGCGCTGGTCCTTCGGGACGTACTCCTTCCATTGTTCGCCCGCCGGAGTGTCCTTAAAGTCCAGGTTGTGGAGCACGTGCTTCCACAGCCGGCCGCGGTCGATTCGGAAGTCGGGTACCTCGTGCGGCGTGGCTTCGGCCGCGCGCCGCATTTACATGTACTACGGACATTTCGGTGCGGTAATGTTGAGGCTCCCTGGTTGCCGGGACAGGCGTCGGCTACCTTGTTGAGGGCCCCCTTTCGGTAATTCACGTCGAAATCGAACTGTTGCAATTGGAACGCCCACCTCCTCAGCCGACCGGACGGCGATTCTATCTTCTGCAGCCATTTTAAGGACTGGTGATCCGTGATCACCGTGAACCGGTATCCTTCGAGGTATCCGCGCATTCGCCCGATGCCCCATATCACCGCTAGGCACTCTAACTCGGTGGCGTTGTAATTGCGCTCGGCGCTATTCAATGTGCGGCTGGCGTACGCGATCACGCGCTCTCCCTCGGGAAAATACTGCGTCAGCACGGCCCCGAAGCTGGTGGTGTTGGCGTCGATCTGCAGGCAGAATTGTCGCGTGAAGTCGGGGCACGCGAGCACCGGGGCTGTCGTCAGGACCCTTTTTAGTGTCTCGAACGCGTCTTGCTCGGTTTCTCCCCAGGTCCACCGCGCCTGTTTGCGGGTCAACGCAGTGAGCGGTGTGGCGAAGGTTGCAAAGTCCTTAACGAACCGGCGGTACCAGGATGCGATCCCCAGGAATTGCCGGACCTGACGTACGTTCTGCGGGGCGGGCCAGTTCGCGACGACGCTGACCTTTTCGGGGTCGGTTCAAATACCGTCGCGGTCGATGATGTGGCCGAGATATTTGATTTGGTTGAGGCAGAATTGGCACTTTTTGGGGTTGATCCGCAGGTTGGCCTCACGGAGCCGGCGGAACACTTCGCGCATGATGCTCAGGTGTTTTTCAAATGTCTCGCTGATGATTACTATGTCATCCAGGTATACGAACACGGCCGGTTCCAACTTGGGGCTCAAGACGGTGTCGAGCAAGCGCTGGAACGTTGCCGGCGCCGAATGTAATCCGAACGGCATTACGGTGAATTGCATCAAGCCCTTGCCCGGGACGGTAAACGCGGTCACGGGTCGGCTCTCCCGTGAGAGCGGCACCTGCCAGTACCCGTTTTTCAAGTCAAGGGTAGTCAGGTATCGGGCCCCCCGGAGCTTATCTAGTGTCGCGGTGATCTGGGGCAGCGGGTAGGCACGGACTAGGGGAATCCGACTGTCTAATTAAAACAAAGCATTGCGATGGCCCTCGCGGGTGTTGACGCAATGTGATTTCTGCCCAGTGCTCTGAATGTCAACGTGAAGAAATTCAAGCAAGCGCGGGTAAACGGCGGGAGTAACTATGACTCTGTTAAGGCGTTTTCCTCTTCTTCTTCTTTTTCCTTGCTCTCTTTTTTGTTGGCTCTTGGAGCTATGTGGTGCATGGTACTGGCATTGGCCCCTGGTTGATCGACCCTAGTGGCTGATCCCGGGGGCTTTTTGCTTTAAACAGATTTTGAGATTTTGGAGAGGTTTGAGCAGCTTTAAGAGCTTTTGGGAGATATAAGATCCGTGGTGCATGGTATGCATTGGCCCCTGGTTGATCGGTCCTAATGGCTGATCCCGGGGGCTTTTTGTTTTAAACAGATTTTGAGATTTTAAAGAGGTTTGAGCCCCTGGTGACCATAGGTCCCGGGGGCTTTTTGCTTTAAGGACAAAGCAATACGCCGCCCCCGTGGACACTGGGCCGTCCCGGGGGCTTTTCGCTTTGAGCGTTTTGTAGGTGAGAGTCATGGTTGCTCGTTCACAAGGGGGCGCAGCCTGTCGTCTGCGCCCCAAGTTTGTCCCACCTCTACGATGGTGTCCGCTGGGTACCCGGCTTACCGGGGAGCTAACAGGGTTCAGGCGACTCGGGAGCATGCCCTGGGCTCTCGGCCGGTCTCGACCGGCGCCAGCGGGTTCATTCCCGTCAGGGCAACAGCGGGAGCATGCCCTGGGCTCTCGGCCAGTCTCGACTGGTGCCAGCGGGTTTCATTCCCGTCAGGGTAATAACGGGAGCATACCCTGGGCTCTCGGCCGGGATACCGGTGCCAGCGGGTTTCATTCCCGTCAGGGCAACATAGCTGGCTGTGGGCTAGCAACCCCTGTCGGCTTACTGGTAAGCGCTGGCAAAAATCAAGACGAAGCGTCGGACGACGGGGAACATGGCCCCATTCCCCTGGAGCACGGCCAGGGGGCTATTCGAAGACAACCAAGGCAAGAAATACAGGTCTGTGAACTATCGCTCCCCTTCAGAAGGGGATGCGAAAATTGCGCCGCAACTGGAGCGGGCGAGTATATGGCTCTCACTGTCAAAGATGAGGCCCGGCATATAGAGGAAGTGCACCCTCACCTGAGCATCAGGTACAAATGCGAACAATGTGGCAAGTCATACGCGTCGTATCGGGCGGCCGCATGCCACCTTCCAAAATGCCCAGCAGCCAGGGCAGGTGATGGGCAGCGAACCGTAGAGCAGGGCCGGTTCGTCTGCCCGGACTGTGACAGGAACTTCACCACACAACGAGGCCTGTCACAGCATCAGAGGCTGGTACACCCAGTGGCAAGAAACCGAGTGAGATCGGGCCAAGCTGCTCCGAAGGTAATGGAGCCGAGGAGAGGTAGAGTTTTCTCTGCTGAAGATGTGAGTAGAATGCTCGAGCTCGAGGTAGAGCTCAAGGATGAGACGAATATAGCAAAGGCTATGGCCTTGCTTATGTCGGAGAAAACCCTGAAACAAATAAGGGACAAGAGAAGTGAGGCGTGCTATAAAAAGTAGAAAAAGCAGCGCCTCGAGAGTCAAGAACCCCTCAGCGAGGAGGACCGACAAGCGGATGGTGCACCGCCAGAGGTCGACGATGTCTTTGTAGATCCGGAGGAGACCGAGGATGTCTTCTTAGATGCGGAGGAGATACCGTGCGATATATATAGCTTTGACAAATCAACGTCAACTGCACACTGGAGGCAAGCCTGCATTGAGGCGGTGCTTAAGGAGCTCAAGAGTAGTGAGCCCAAGGAATCGCTGGAATAACAGCAACACATTATCCAGCTCCTGACGGCAAAAAGTGAAGGTCAGGCAATAACGCAAGAGGAGGTAGACGCAGCCTATGAGATGGCGATCAGTTTGTTCCGTGCTCCGGAGTCGGGGAAAACAGGCGGTAATTCCCGAAGACACCGGAGTCGGAGGAAAGGACTTTCGGGAAGAAGTGAACGCAAAGCCCGAACTTATGCTCGTACACAAGAGTTGTATAGGAACAATTCCGCTATCCTCGCTAAGATGGTAAGAGAGGGTATGGATGTCCAGACGCTGGATTCAGGCGTTTCAGTGAGTCCAACAGTTGAGAGCGTCAAGAAGCTCTACGGAGAGCTATGGGGAAACCCGGGTCGATGTGATATTGGCCGGGAAGAGCGAGAGGCCACGGTGCCGTATAATCCAGCAGAGATTCTGCATCCTATCTCCAAGGAGGAGATTTTGAAGCGTTTCAAGGCTACACGGCTGAGGATGGCAGCCGGGCCTGACGGACTCCGCAAGGGAGATCTGATGAGAAACGAGGGAGGCTATATCCTCCACGCTATTTTTAATGTAATCATGCTGGCATTGAAACAACCGAGCGCGTGGCGCTGCAATAGAACAACACTATTGCTTAAAGAGGGGAAGGATCCCTCAGTAACGGCCAATTACAGGCCGATCACTATCTCCTCAATATTAAGCAGATCATATTGGGGTATCATGGATCAGCGTCTAAGGAATGTGGTTCACCTGAATGCACGGCAAAAAGGCTTTGTGCCGGAGATGGGATGTTATAATAACATCAACTTGCTGAACAAAGTTCTCGCACTAGCAA